AGGGGTAATCTCATAAATACATATTTTTCCACACCTTTTTTGGGTGTGCTTTGTTCTAAATTAGCCATTCATTACAAATGCATGTTTACAGACATGAGGTTTTGGTCTCGTTTCTAACTAGAAACTACATTTCACATTCTAAATTGCAGTTACAACACATGTAGGACAAGCATTTATTTTGAAGCATCGCACCCCAGCTCGACAGAGGGGCACAGGGCAGCTGACAAGGTGAAGAAAAACAAACTTTCAAATTTAGTTGACCAGTTTTCCCAGTTTTTATTATTCTACAGTCCTATGGCACAGTTGTTTCTTTTGGAAGATATTATTGTGTTTGATATGAAGAGGACAGGACATAATTCCTGCAGGCTGCCTTTATACTGAATCAGAACTGAAAAACATTTTTTAAAGTGTTAGCATCGCTGCTTATGTCTGAGTGAGAAACACACAGTGAAAACTCAAGTTAGTCAAGCAGAGCTTGATCTAGCTGAACAGACAAAAGGGCCTTCCCTAAATTCACACAAAAAGGTTACCCATGACTTCAAATTTTCTGCTTGCTCTGTCTATGCTCATCTATGGTCAGTTCCCATTTGGTCTGACAGCCTCAACACATACTTGATATTGTATTTGATAGAACTGCAAAATCAAGCTGTAGCATTGCAAACCTTCTTCAGTTTCTTCCAGGCAAGGGAAGCTGAGCTTCAGCCCAGACCATTAATACAAGCTTGAAGAAATGAAAGCCTTTATGCAAGTTGAAAAAGAACACACCCAAGTACTTTCCAAGCCTGCAATCCCTCACAGGACACTCAGTCTTATTTACACCATCCTGACAGACATGCCAGTCCGATCTTCTGTTTCCCTTTCTCTCCTCTCCTTCATCTACATGCTAATTCCATACAACTATTTTCAGTTATATTTTTCCCCCCCCGCTTCTTTATCCCTTTAGAAAACTGAGCCTACCTGGCCAAATGTCTGGCAGGACCTCCAAGTCACTTTGAATCTCTCTCAGTAAAACTTAATGATCCTATAAAACTTTCATTGTAAGTTAACAGACAAGTAAAAACATTTGTTTCTGTTACCAACACATGGTGGACTAAAGAAGCATTAGCACCAGAATTATACAAGTGATGTGCAACTCCATGAGCTGGAAAAGGCAATGGTAACAGCAGCAACTTTCATATCAATTAGCATAAGACTAAATAAGATACAGTTGTCTAAATTATTGAGCACATCCTTAGCTGCAGGTTATTTAATTTGTGTACATTTCCAAGGATATTAATGGCATTAACACCAGTGCCAATCACTTACTGCCTTCACTTTAGTGTACAGATGTTCTTTCAGAATCCAGTTCTGCATGTCTCAAAATATCCAGCTGCTTATTGACAGAATCTTTCTAGATATCCAATTAGGTACTAACAATCCTATAACTTGATGTTACAATGAGCCACAGGGATAGGCATTGTTGAAGGCACTGCCCTTCCGTGAAGTTTCTGGACAAAATGCTTTAGGGATTTTCCCCTTTTTACAAACAGAAGTAGAAACATGTCCAAGGCACATGCCACAGCCAAACGGTTGTCTGTTACCAGTTGTGAGAAGGGTGACTCTTCAAATGCACTGCAGGATTCTGTCTCTCTGTCCATTGACAACCCAACCCAGCTAACACTGAGTGTATGGAATGCACCGGGAGGAACTGAAGCAGACACTAGATTATGAAAGCATAGACTAACCACAGACATGTTGTAGCACAGCAATTTCACAGCTCGCTATCCTTTCCTCCAAGAAAACTTTTCTTTTTTTTTTTTTTTTAGGGTATATCAGTTACCTATTCGTCCAATTTTCACTAAAAGGAATCTTACTCCTTGCTACTGCAACTCTTCCGTAACAGCTGCTTGCAGCCTTTGCTAACCCATGACTGACACTTGCTGGCAAACTAACTGCTGTGGGTACTCCCTCGTGTCAACCTGAAGAACACGTGCCTGTAGCAGATCAGTGAGGGATCAAAACCACACGATCACTGTAGCCAGGCGTGATTCCAACTTTGCCACGCTTCCAAAGCTCCCTCGGCTCCCACCCTGAGCGTCCCCTTGCCCTCCCTTCAAACGTGCCGGCAAACATTTCACTTCCAGCTTCGGGTTGGGAAGGCAGGGCAGGCTGCCGGTGGGATGTCACAGGGGAAATACAATCTAAAGGATGGACGGCAGCCACACAGGCTCCTAAGACCACGCCTTCACAGCCACCCGCTGCCGCGGTTTTACGCCACCGGGCTCCGCAGCAAAGTTCCCCTTGACGAGCCTTTACAAGGGAACACCTCTACTCCGCTACACGACGGCACTCCCCTCGCTACCGCGAGCCCGGCACAGCCCCGTGACGAGAGCAGGGGAGCCGCGGGCAGTGACGCAGCCGCCCCCGGCCGCAGTCTCCCGCCCTCCGCCGCTCCTTGGGCGCCTCCCTCCGGCGGCGCTCCGCTTCCGCTGCTCCGCGGGCACGGCCGGCAGCTCGAAGGCGGCGGGCTGAGCGCGCCGCTGCCCCCGCCCGTGCGACAGAGGCGGGAGCCCCAGGGCGCGCCTCCGTGCAGCCGCGTTCTCAGGAAAGTCAGTGAGAATTACTGAATCGGCTTTCACCTTCCCTATTTGCATAGGAACAGAGCCCGTCAGCACCACGGCATCCAACACCCCTCACACTCTGCTTCGCCGCCGCTGCGAGCCCTGACCCGGCTCGACTGTAGGCACAGCTGCCGCGCAGCGCAGCGCCCGCCGTACCCACCCAGCCCTTGGGCGGCTGCTAGTTCGTTCCTTCGTGCGCCCTTAGTTCCCGTTACCTCCGTGCAGCTTCTTCTAGGGCGCAAATGCCACCTTCAGGTTTCCCTTCTCCGCGAGTCAGCGCTGCCTAAGGACACACGCAGAGGCGTGGAGTGAAACGTAAACTACAGCTAGAAGGCAATTTCACAGCCGTGTACAACTGCAGAGCACACCTGGGCCCCTCAGAGCCTTGCTGCACCGAGTTCTTCCTAGCAGGCGCCCTGTAAAAAGAAGTGCAATTGCTCAGCTGCTCTTTATGATCTCACGTTGTGATTTCTGAGTGCACTGGCAAACTTTGCAAATGCTACCATAACCAAAGTTACCATATGCACAGCCGTCTCATCACAGCTCTTTGTAGCCAAGCATTCTTCCTCAACTTACAACTTCCCTCCACTCAATGTACTGACGAAGCACACAGCAGCACATGATGCTAAATTTCAGTCTGGGTATCGGTGTGAGGTGTTGCTGACTAATGATTGCATCGGGAGCCACAGTGCTGACCACTGGCTGCCTGACATTCCAGTTCCAACCCTAACAATCCATTAACAGAGCACTGTTTCCACACACACAGTCTGCTAGGTGGTTTTAAAACCCAGTAATAGCAAACCTAAGAAAAAGGGAGACAGCTGAGACAGCAACGAACTCCTACCAAATGGCAAGCACATCAAAAGACAGAGAAAACCTTAGAGCTGAAAAACACATTTTGAACTCTGAATGCTGTCAGCCACCCACTGTGTGCAAGAGCTAGGAATATCTTTAACTTGTAACACAGTCCCAATGATCTATAGCAAGGAAGGCAGATCGCACAGGTGAGTTCCCACCCTACAGCTTGTACCACCCTGCTTCATCTTGCTTTTCAGGCATCCCAGGTGACACAAGGCACACAGTCTCCCTGCATCCGCAGTCCTGTCTGCCCCATCTCAGGGAAGCATCCAACACCCAGCACCACACCACCAGCTGTTCTGCTGTTGGGAGCTCCCAACTTTGCCATGCTGATAAGAATATGGCTGGCCCCACTGGCTTTCTGCTCGAGGTACAAACACCAAGCGCTTATCAGGAGAATTAGCCTATCACAACTCACTTCCCTGCAGTATTTTGAACCGAGGTACATTTAAGCACCTTATTCTAGACAAACCTCTCCCGAAAGATGAGATGGACAGCTAGGCTTGGCAGCTCAGCTAACAAACTGCTTGTGCTCTCCACATGCATACTGAGAATCTCTCTGCGTTCTTTTTAGCAGGTTTCCTGAGTGCTCCAAACTTCAGCGACATTTTTTCCCAGCTCAAAGTAAACGTAAGCTTACGGGAGTGCTCAGACACGAGGTTAAGGACATCAGGTACCTGAGCCTCTGCTGCGACCACGAGGTTAGCAATCCCACACATCTATCTACAGACACTCAATTTACACTCAGCATTGGAACAGAAGGAGTTCTCGGTGAGGGAACTCCACAGCTAGCAGTGCCGCTGCTATGCCCTACTTCTTGTCTGCAGCCGCCCCAAACGCAGCTCCGGAGGGGTACGAAGGCTGCAGGAAACTTCCCAGCGCGGTGTGCCCGAACCCACACAACGCAGCGCCCTTCCCTTACCCCAAGAGCTGCAATGCCAGGGACCCCAAAACGAACTTCAAAATGCCATCCCCGAAGAGGGATTTTTCCTCACCTGAAAGCAGTTACAGCACACACATATGCACGAAGAAAGGAAAAAAAAAAAAAAAAAAAAAAAAAAGCTTTTTCTGCTCTAACAGACTTCGAGTAAAGGAAAGTTCCCACTTTATTTTACTTCCCTCCGTGCTCTGACAAACGCATTCTCACAGCAACCCGTGCCGCTCGCAGCAACGCACCAAGTCCTGCACGCAACCGACGGAGCCTCCGCCGCGTCCCGCCGGCTGTCTGAGGGACGCGGCACCACGGAGCAGCGCTAACCGAGCAGCTCACGTGCGCGCAGCCGGCAGCCACAGAGCCCTTCCCGCCGCGCCAGCCGCCCTCGGGACGCCGCCCCTACCTGCCCGCCTCGGCTCCCTCTCAGCGGCTAGCGGCAGGACAGAACCGCCGTCCTTCCGGCGGGGCAAGCCCCATGTGAAGAGAAGCGAGGGAGCCCAGCAGCTCCACCGCCGAGGGGAGGGGACGGAGGGAGGGAAGGGAGGAGAGAGGGAGGAGGCGGGCGGGCGCGCCGGACGCTCCCCCAGCTCGGAGCCGCCCCGACCCCGATGCCGGAGCCCACGGCAGCGCCCCCTGGAGGAAGGCAGCTCCGAGCGGAGCCGGCCCCCGGCCAGCCTCCCCCGCCCGTCCCCAGCAACCGCCAGAGGTGGGGCTGGAGAGCGCTACGAACCCCCAGAGTCCGCGGGCTGGGGGAACGGCGGCTCCTTCGGCTGCTGAGGGGCCTCTGGGCTCCGTGCCCAGCTCTGTGGATATCCCGGTGTGGAGAGGACGCCCAAGTAAAACAGCCCCAGGGAAGCAGAGAGCTGCTCCCACAGTTAAAACACGGCACGAGGACTTGGGACACCGGGACTCACTGTCTGACTTTGCCCACCCGTGGCAGCCACTCAACTCTGCCGAGCGGCTGTGGCGATACCAAGTGTGTGCACACAAGAATTCTGGCGGGCTTCCCAGGAATCCTCAGATGACGCAGAGAACTGGCCTGCACTTGTCAGTCAGACACGTGCCTCGGCGGCTGTGGGATGCGGCATGTTTATGCCGTGGGTCCCCAGCTGCATCATCTAATTTCCCCGCCCCATCTCACAAGGATTTGATGAAGATAAATTCAGAAGCCTCTCCTAGGCACACAGATGTGACAATGACAGAGCTGCTGTGGCGTCTGCCCTGAGAGAGATGCTGCTGCTGCATCCCGTCCTCCCCCAAACAGCCACAACCATACACACAGAGCACTTCAGAAAGATAGATTTCTCCAGCAATGCTGACTTTGAAGGAAACAAAACAAAGACAAATCATTCTTAGGCTGTGATGTTAACACCAGGATTTGCTGAGCTGGCAAGCCCTGGGGTGCAGCTCCTGAGAGCTGAGAGGTGTGAAATGGAGAGCAGGCAATTGAACACGTTTTGCTAGCCCAGAGCAGGAATATCACCATCTGCATTAAAAAATAACAACTTGCAGTGGAGCTGGAACCCTCTGCCAGAAACCCTGCCTCTCTGATTAGAGATTTTAAGGTCATATTGCCAGCATCAAAAGTACACATTAGGAGTATGCACTGTAATCCTGGTTGTTGTTTTCTTTTTTTTTTTTTTTTCAGTGCAGATAAAGTGCAAATGAAAAGCACCTTTTTGCTGATCACCTCTTCTTTGTGACTATTTTTAGTAAAAATTAAAGCTGTGCTGTTTATTCTTTATTTAGCATACCCAGTGCACATTGCCTAACATCAAAACTGACTGAGCTCTCTAGAAAACTAAGGCTTTCCACAGCTTTACTCGGATCTTACAAATCTTTTAGCAGAACTACAGCAAAACCACGTCGCCCTGTGCCAGCACTGCTGGGAGGTCCAATATGAAAGAGAAGGAAAGCACCAAAAACCTATTGGTGAAGCCCCTAAAGGAAACACCTGCAGATCTCCAGAGCAGATTTGTGCCATCCCAGAGGGGCTGCATGGTGCCCAGTCTCCCAGTGCTGTGTCAGACTGGGGGCTGTGACAGCACACTGCAGCTGCTCTCTGGAAGCAGGAGAACAATGGTACATCAGAGGTTCCAGCTCAGCACTCTAGAAAAAAGAAGCCCAGCAAATCCTGCGGGAATGGTTTTAGCAAGATTTTCACAAAATATATTTGTGGCCCTGGTTTAGACAGGAACTCACCACTTGGGTAACTGAGAATGGAGAAGGGTCCAGCCCTGCTCTGCACTTAGCTGAGTCAGGATGAACACTGAGATTTCTGTTCCCTATCTTCTGCTCCAGCACTCAAATCATACATCTCCATGGCATGGAAATGATAAGGGCCCTGAATGTCACCCTGTAGTTATGTGCCCACACAGCTATGTATGGGAACTGCTGAGTCACGGCCTGAACCTCTGATTGATCACCTGAGGTGAGCCTTGAGTCAGCCAGAGGAGCACAGGTGAAGGCAATTCACCTGTGCTGCCGGAAGGGGTGGAGCCTGGCTCCACCCCTCCTGGACCTATTTAAGAGCTGGCTACCAGAGGGGAAGGATCTCTTCTGGAGATCCCCTCTTTGGTATCTTCTGGTGAGCTCAACCCAAGGGTAAGCTCTTCCACTTATTCTCTTTTGTGATCGTTGTCTGCTTTGCCTTACTCTCATTGATTGTATTGCGATTGTAACATCTTGATTATACAAAATTATAACATCTTGGTTATACACAGCTACATGGTCTGCCTGTTTCCTCCGCTCACTGTCATTACCTAATAGCCCACTGGTATTACTGGAGCACCTTTTCCAGGACAGAGAGCTGCTATAAATCAGGACGGCTCTGCTAAAGTACCTGCTTCTTCCTCTGGGTGGCATCCGAATATCTTCAGTGGTCCAAAGCTGGTTCAGGATAATATTCTTGCTTGCCAACAGCGATCAGCACTGCAGTGCAAGTGCTGCTCTTGCTAAGCTCACATAAACCAGTCAATGTTTAAATAAAACACAAGATTTATAGCAGTTGGAATCATCATCACTCCATCAGCCTTAATTATGACAAAAGAAGATCTATCACATCTTGTGCCCTTGCCCTGTAGACTTTGCAGTTGTCAAAAAAAATGGGATGCAAAAGCACAATTAAACCTCCCAGCTGTACAGCTTCACCAAAATCAAAACTTTATCACCAGGAGTGGTTTTCTACCTTTTTATATAGGTCTCAGTGAGACAGCTACAAACTGATAAACAGGAGTGAATCATCACAGTCACAGCACACAGAAGTGTAAATGCAAGCCAGGGTAACAGAGGCCACAGATGCAAAAAGCTTTCTGAAGGCTTCCACTCATAACCAGAGCAGGGCTGTTCCCTGTTTTTACACTGTCATGACTGTCATGCTTGTTTCTGGTAGCTGTATGGGCTGGCAAAGACCCCATCACACTGAGACAAGTCAGTGCAAAACCACACTAGTGCTGGTGTCTAAAGCTGAGCAGTTGATTGCCTTACTTACCTGCAGAGTGTTACACAGCCAACACTTCTTAAGACTATGAAATATGAGAGGACAAAACTCATTCTTGCTGATTTTAAAATACTTATTTGGAGTAACTTATACTGTTTGGTTTCCCATATTAATTAGCATAGCCTGGGCCCATAACCACAATGCAGCTGGATGAACTTAGCCCAGCAACCAGCACTTGTAAATAGGGGAAAGCAAATCTTCAAAAGCACATCAGGAAAAGAGCATCATTTTTTCCTTCTTTTCTTCCTCTCCTGCTTTAAAAGCTTTTTATCTGATATAAGTTGCAGTCAGTTGTCTTTACAAACTTTCACCTAACATTCTTCTACCAGACTTGTAACAGATTCTGATTAGAAACTTCATTTTCCTTTCACTGTTTCTAGTAAAAATCCTGCTTTAGTTGCATTGGGAACCACATGCTTGCTCTCTACAAGCACTAGTGAAGGGAATCCTTTTGTTTTAAAACTCAGTTATGTGAGAAAAGGCTGTGGTTCAAATAGTGCTTATCACCTACTTTCCAAAAACCAGGTTCTTTGAGGTGTTTCCAGGACTAGAAGCCAGCTACACTGCCCTGAAGCTCAGCTCTAATCTATGCTCACCCAGGTATTACTCCAGTTCTGTATTTCCTCCTGTGAATTTGTTTTTAATTCCACAAAAGCAAGATTTGTTCTCTTGAGATCTACAGCTATGACTATGTGTGTACAACAGTCATCCTGAGTAGGTGGCACAGAGATGGTTTTTCTTGTCATCAACAATGTCATGCTTAGTTTTACACGCCATTCTTACCATATGTCATAGATAGGCACAATAGATACATACTGGCAGCTTTGATAGCATTCAAAGAGATGGTGACCCCCAATCCAGGAAACCATTCTAAGGCTCTGATCATTTCAGCAGCAGAATTGTAACCAACGGTTCCCAAGAGCCCCTGCCAGAACACTATTGCCTTTACAGGCCTTGGAATTACTGATCGTATTTGAGAAAGTTAAAACAAGAGAATGATTTAAAAGCAAAACAAAACAAACCTGAGGTTACAGCTACAGTTCTGGATCCTGGTGCTTACCCAAATTAACTAGGCAATCTCAAGATGCACGACAGTATCTGAAACCTTACAGTGGATAACCTTGAAATTCCTTGTTATTCGTCTCCTGCACAAATGTTCCACTGACTTCTGAAAGCTGAGCTTCCCTTTAAGGTAAAGACAGCAACTGTACCCTCAATTCCCACAGCCTGCCCACGCGCTGTTAAAGGACACATCTAAGGTTTTATTTCCGCTGCCAAAGGAAACCTGTGTCTTTACTGCATAGCAGTTCAAAGTCACCAGATTACATTTCTGTTCATCACTCCGAACTGTCAGGGAACACTGCCAACTGTACCTTCATTACAGCAGGCCAATTCATTTGCAAGTAGCAGCGTAGGGCTTATCGCTCCCAAATCCCCAATATCAAAATTGTATCACACTTGTCTCCACCAGAACTGGTTGAAAAGTTCACAACTGTGTTATTTTTTCATTAGAAAAATCCCTGAAACAAAAGTATGACAGAGAATAAACAATGAGGGAAATAATTTTATGATTTGGAAACAGTCATGCAAAAGCGATTGTTTCAGTTTTCATTTTGCTCCATTTCATTTCAAATTTTACTGCCTGTTGCATTGTTGTTATCATGTGTAGTATAAAATGCAAAAAGCAAAGGAAAGCCTTCTGATATTTTTGTAAACAAATGCGTTTGCAATTGGCTTCTCTAAATACTTTTTCATTCCAACATTTTACTTCCTTTGTTGGTAAAAACAAGGCTGGAACTTCCCATGGAAATACTGGTCTTTGCTAATTATCTTTGTTGAAATGTAGTCTACATTTATTAATAAACCTGTGGGGGAAAATTCCTTTCTACTGTACAGCAAAAACCGTTTTCTTCTGGATTCCCTAGGCAAATTTCACAATGAACCCTGCAGCAAAGGTGCCCTGGGCATTTGACATGCTGTCTTATCATCTCAAACAGCAATACAAGGCAGACAAAAATACTTAAAATTCTCTTGCTTTCTTAGAAACTGGTTTAATGTTTTTCTATGAACAAGTGCCACAGTATGTGGCAGTCCTAAGCAGAGCTAAGAGTTGGACTTGATGATCCTCATGGGCCTCTACCAACTTGGAATATTCTATCTTGGCTTCAATGCCTCCTCACTTCGGGTATCCCTTAGCACAGTGGTACAAAACACCCCTAAAAACATTGCTGCTGACAAGTGAATGGGGATACAGGGTAATGCAATGAAGGAGAAGGTACACACTGGCCTGAAGAAAGGCATTCTGCTGTCTAGCAAGGCTTCTTTGTCCCTGCTAAG